TAGGATATTCTAAAAATATCTTGCATAAAATATTATTTTCAAAATATTTCAGAGATATTCAGAAACTATATAGGACAGAATATTATTTTTCAGATATTCATAACATATTCTAAAAATATTTCGTGTAGAATATTATTTCTAGAATATTCATCGGTTATTCTAAGAATATACCGTATATTCTCGGAACATATCGTAGATTCTCAGAATATTCGAATGATATCATGTGCTGTCTGGGCGGCTGTATTATACAGCTGGATGGATGACACTGGGATCCATCTCTCTTCGACTGTAGTCGGCAGGCGTTCGGCCTCGTCTTCTGGCAGCTCCCTGCATTCTTCGGATGGTGAGAGGATAACATGCGGAATTCTCGCTGTCGAGAACAGAGAGACCAGGTAGGATCTGTTCGTGTCGTTACGCACAGGGGTAATATCCACGCTGTGTGAACCCCATCGTGTTCGGGATGAATCGCGAGCGGTTTTGACTCTGTTCTCTTTGATATGAGTGTATAAACGCGTACGAGTGATCTTTTAACTTTGAGCTGTTGTGTTAAAACACTGAGCAGTCTGTGCTGAAGACAAACTCTTACGCGTAACTACGAGTGTATATTGTTGCGATACGTTAGAGAGACGGATTTTAAACTTCTCGGAGTGTATATGCGGATGCGTTCGCGAGGATAATCGTCGTGATAGACAACGCGTTTTCTTTTATCTAAGCGAGGAAGCATAATTCCGGTATTATAATCTCGGTTTATATCGTTAAACCATAAGGGGCCACGAGACTTTTTAGCGACGCCTGCATTATTCGTGGATAAATTTGACTGCGTGACATATGTCTGTGTACGAGGGAGCGATTTCCTGCTCGCTTTTACACAGGCAGCTGTGAACGGGGCGCTACACCGTGAAGGCGACTCGCCTGCGGGCGCCTCTTGTGGAGTGACAGGTAGGGTTAGAGTGCCCATGTGCGACTCCCGGAGACGAACGGACGTGTGCAGCGAGCTTTGAGGATTAATATAATCTGTGTCTGTCCATTGGTGTGGATGTCCTCTTTGTGGCTGTGCTGGAACGGAACCGGATGCGGGGGTGACACGTATGCGTTATACGTGTGGATCTCATACTGGGATCGGTTACTCACAGGGAAATGCCCGCGAGAATAAAGCCATCGCGAGTTGCAAGAGTTGCATATACTGTGCATATTAAATCGTATTCGTAGTATTATTGTATTCTGCGCCGGCGGATGACCGTAGTGCGGCTGCATGAATTGTGCGGTCTACGCCTGTGCTAGGATATTGTCGGTGGTGCGAGGGCTCGGACGCGGGCGCCGAGAGGATATTCAATCACCCATTGATTTTCACGTCTTCTCTGTAAGCGTTGGCATACTCGGGCCTGTGAATTGAATCGATTTTCTGTAAGTAATTGTAAAATTACGAGTGAAACCAGTGCCGCTACTTTCTCGCGTTGTGTAACGTGGGCCGAATCCGCGCATTCGTGGCCGGGCAGATTGGCGTGGAATTCGCAGGATACGGGGCATTGATGATTGATGTACGCTGTAAAGATA